TCCTTGACTAAGAATCCAACTCCCCCCTCCCCTCTGCTCTTGATTTTCTGCCCTCTCCGCATTTTACCTATCCATGTGTAGCTTCCCACTTCGGGAGGGGGGGGGGAGGGTGACAGGTTCAAGAAACTTCCATGCCCATCGTCAGCAACAACAACAACAGCGCCAACAACCAGCCGCGGAATAACAAACGCCACAACGGGAGCCGTGTCCCTGACGAGGCAGGGGGGAGAGAAGTGCGTGATAAAGGAGTAGACCCACACAGCTTTGGCCACAACGCCAATGCCGAGCACGTGCGAAAGGACTCCCCCTCCAAAACGTTTTCACAGGCGACACACACAGCCGGTAGTAAATCAACAGGCGGCTGGAGCTGACGGTCAAGCCCTTCGACTGCTGTGCTACTGCTGTATTAGATCGAAAGGGAAAAAGTGTTTCTTTCCGTGACTTGAGCGTGCACCAGGTATAAGATATTTTCATGTAAAACGGCAGTCCCGAACGATCGTTGTTCGGGCGATTGTCGCGCCCAGTGGTCAATTAGTCTCCGACACCCCTCGGCAAAACCGAACAACACCACGCCGCATCGAAACGTACACCGCCGAGAATCAAAAAGCGTCCAGAGCATAGCGCCCCCGCTGGTACTACTGCCGCCGCCGGTGGCGCTACTGCCTCGTGTCGTGGGTACCGGGGGCCACACGAGTGCCCTCCCCCCCCTCTCCCCCTCCCGCCTGCCATCGGACAGGACCGCCTTCCGAGGATGTCATCTTTATTATTGATGTATGAAATAGAGGGGGGGGGGTCGAATCCCTATCCCTAACCCTCTACCCCACCACCGTACCCCCTACTAAGACCAAGTTATTATCCTCGAGATGGCTACAACTGTACAAAATTAATCTACTCAATCGAGAGAGGGGGTTTCGTGACCCTAGCCGTCTACCCCACTCCCGTACCCCCTACTAAGACCAAGTTCTTATCCTCGCGAAGGGTGCAGTACTGCTGCTGCCGCCCAATGTACCTGTCTCTCCCACGCTTCGAAGCGGCAGACGTTCCTCAGTTCCCTGCCCTGCAGCACCACCTCCTCGCCGGTGACCGCAAGGTACAGGCCCGTCGTCACCTCCTTCGGTGAGGGGGGCGAAACGTCGCGAAACGTCACGAAAAGTCACGGGCAGAGCAAGAAACCGGGAGGTGGTGTTGTTGTCGGCTGATGAATCGGCGGCAGAGTCGGATGCAATGAAGGGAGCAGAAGGAAAAGAGAGAGACACGGCGGCGTTGAGTCAAGAGCTCCGTGTTCCTCCTCGACGCAGACCGCACGCTCGCTCATGGCGGGTTGGAATATAACACACCAGAGAGACAGAGAAAAGTGCCCGCGGGAGGGAAAAGGGCTCTCTGCTCTTTTCTTCTCTTCTCTTCTCTTCTCTTCTCTTCTCTCCTATCCTCTTCGTTATCTCTCTCTCTCTCTCTCTCTCTCTCTCTCTCTCTCTCTCTCTGTCTCTCTCTCTGTCTCTCTCTCTGTCTCTCTCTCTGTCTCTCTCTCTCTCT